CTTCAATACAATAAAGTTCAGAACAATCATTGCATTATACAATATATAGCTTTATCACTGAATAATTTGTTCTCTTACTTTATACTGCAGCGCAGTTGCTTGTACTGTTTTTATTCTTAAATGGTTTATGTGAGGTTTCCATGTCAGCTTTTTATCAATGAGAACACCCAAAAACCTCACCTCACTGACTACAGATCTCAACATTGATTCTAAATGGAACAATGATAATTTGATTTGTTACCAAATCTCAAAATTCTGCTTGTCCAAAAACATCTGTTCTATATCTTTACCCAAACAATGAAATGTAGCGTAATCTGCAAATAAAACACTTCAAAAGCCCCAACACACTAACCAAATCGTTCATATACAAAATAAACAACTTTGGTCCAAGTACACAACCCAGAGGAACTCCACATCTAATATTATATAACTCATCATTTCATCATTTACCTGAACAAACTGTTTCCTATATTTCAAATAATGACCTACCCACTGTAGTGCTGATCCTCTAATACCGTATTTATTCAGCTTTTCAATAAAATTGTTTTGTTTTCAGTAGTGTCAAAGGCCTTCAAATAAACAGTAACACAATACTGTTTATGATCTACAGCTGTTRTCTTTTCCATTAATTTCATTTGAGCCATTGATGTTTATTTATTTGTTCTAAACCCACTAACTACTACTTAAACTACTGTTTTTCTATATATCCATTTAAATGTTACTACACTGTATGTACATTGTATATTTCTGTTCATAGTGGGATTTGTTGTAGTTATTAAAAATAATAGTTTGAGCATTTTAAAGTGGTGTTTTTTGTTTTTCAAGAAAAGCTGTGAACAGATACTATCTTACCTGCTGTAGATGGCTCTTTGGATGGATTTAGTTTGGAGAAATAGTTTAAGTCTGACTGGATTAACGGGATAAAGGCTCAAAAAGGCTAAAACCAAAAGGCACTACAGTTGTTCATTGTGGTTCATGCAAATGTTAACATTTAAACATCTTTGCATCCTCATCAGGTTTGCACGATGTTAATTTCATGTTATGTTCATGTATTCCTGCAGGAAGTGCCCCAAAATGCTACAGTTGGCTTCTGATGTTGTTTGTGGCAGTTGCAAAAAAAAAACATAATTTGCATAAAAAGTCATCAAATTTAAAATCAGCATGAAGTTTATAAAACTGCAATTAATTTGACAGTAATCCAGTTTGATTTCGCTCAGATTAGCTGTTAGCGTGTTAATCTGGTCTCCAAAATGAGCTTGTTCAAAGAACTATCTACTTTCCAAGTTCCGAACAAAGTATGGAGTAAAGCTTTAATATCAACATCAAATGTTACACTTCCCAGATGTTTTAGTAAAAAAAAATTTGTTTTAAAAATACCTGGAGTTGTTTGCTCAGGACCTGAAACAGGAAACATTGGATCTGTGATGTCAGAACTGTGACGGGATGCAGGTTTGAACATGTGCTGAGTCAGTGTTTACATTCAGCTCCGGACTCTGTAACGGCAGGCTCGTTTGAAGCACCCACTTCAGTGTGTTTGTGTTCATGTCTCTGTTTCCTAACAACACTTGGGTGAAAAATCAGCACCGTGTCAAGATTTAAGCTTCTGTAATTAATGTGGAGCTGAACAAATTGCAATGAAGCTTTAATTTGGTTTCTTCTGGGTAGAAAGTTTTCAATCATGTGATTTTGTTGCCAACAAGCCCCTTAAACACATTTAATGTTGGTAAAAAACAATATTTTACAGTCGTATGTTTTAGTTAGCTTTGTTTCAAAGGGTTTTGATCGTTTTTTATGTTTAGTTTCTTTAAATATCTGAGCATTTTGTTTCAGAGTGATGATAGGACAGATCAAGACCACGTCCTCRGTAATGAGGGTGTTGTTTCGGTCAGTAGTGGTGAAGACATGAGTCAAACGGCAAAGCTTTTGATTTTTCTGGTCAGTCTATGTTCCAACCCTCAYTTGTGGTCATGASGTCTGGATACAMGCACCCGAAATGATCTTCTTTCATAGGGTGGTCGGGCTCAGCCTTGGAGATCRGGTGAGGAGATACCTGCATCCAAATGAGTTGATGTGGTTCATCTGATCAGGGTGMCTTTGGGCACGTCCCACTGGTCAGAGACCCCAAGGCAGACCCAGAACCAGTGGTGGGCTCAGCTAACCAAAAYGTTAGCTTCACTAACCACTAATCTGCTAATCAAAAACCTTAGCAATACTAATGCTAATCCGCTAATTGAATTTCAAAATTAATGGAAGCTAACGCTAACCGCTWGGRCCACAGTCTTCATCTCTTTCCAGATGAAGATTGGTGGGACTGATGCAAACCTGTTGTTAGTTTTCTATTGGTTTAATTTGWAGGTGAGCGGGAACATCTGTGGCAAATCTGCCAATCCAAACCAGAGTTATCGCTGACTTTAGATACTTTTACTTTTCCTCTTTCAGAATAAAAGCACTTTTTTGAGTTAGTCTAACAACAAATAATTTCTCTACCATATTTTATCCATAGTTAGTTTTTGTATATGTTACTTAAATATTGTTAAATGATATATTATTTTTAACACTCTGAGTTTGAAGTTTAGCAGCTAAAGATGCTACATGCTATTTATGATGTCTGATAAGTCCATCACTGTAAGAGTGGGTGTTTTTTTAATTTGAGATAAATGACWTGAAAATAGAGCTTTAACACGTTTGGAGTTGTAATTAGCATAACCTAATTTAGCAGAAGCTAATCTGTTAACAATTTTCAAAGTTAGCATTAACGCTAATATGCTAAATAAGAAGCTAATTCCGATATTAGCGAATTAGCAGAGAGGTGCTCATCTCTACCAGAACTCACTGAATGCATTAAATGAGCTGTAATTTGGTGTGGTAGTAGTTGAGAGTCATCTCCAACAAAAAGTCAAAGTGCTACTCATCATTGGTTAAAACTTTGCCAATAATAGTTGAGTTTCTGTTAGCAAAATAGCTATATTTAACCTATTGTTGATGAAGAAATCTGAGTTTTTAGAAGAGATAAGCCGGAAGATTTATAGTCTTGTTAAATTTAATGTACACGTTGTTCCATGTCTGGTTTTGATTGGCCTTATTGTCACATTTGTTGGGAAATTTCTAAACTAAATAAGCTGATTGTCCGTAGTTTGACAAATAGGAAGTGATTCATACCAAGCAGGGATTATCATCAGACCACAATACAAACCAGGAAACCGCTGTCATGATGTCTGAGAAACCAGCTCAGTCTTGATTCTTGTTTTGTTTTCTTAACAGAATGTTGTCCTGCGTCCGGGGGGTTCTCGAGGGGACGGGACGATCCCATCTAGAACTGATCGGAAAGGGTCGGTGGGTCGTGGAGACGTCTTTGTGATCGATGAGGACACGGACTTGTTGGATCTGGTCTTCCAACAAGGTGGACAGGTCAACAAAAATGGACTCAAAGGAGGCCAGAAGGTTAAACCTGATGTTTCGTCTAAAAAGGTGGAGGAGAACGTTACGACAGAGAAAAAGACAGATTCTAGGACTTCTTCGCTCTTCCCCAGAAAACCTTCAGATGACATCATCGACTTGGACATTGGAGGTTCCCCTAAGAAGCCCTCACTGGGATTTCCTCCCAAAATCCCCTCAAGTCCCAAGACATCCACCGAATCCAACAAACTAAGAGAAGATTTGGACTTGGAGACCAGGACTGTTACAGCTGAACCTCATTGGAGCCCCACCCCTCAGACCACCTTGGATCATAGAAACCCTAAGGGGGGTAAAGACCTACAACCAGACAGAGAACGCCCTGGGATTATAACTGTTGTATCCAGAGATGGAGACCTGGTTTTGGGCTCAAACGGTAAAATGTACAGGGTCCAGAGAGGCCCACCTGGCAAAATGGGTCCACCAGGACCAGACGTGAGTCAGCTTTGGCTATTTATTTCATGTTTTTCTAGAAATCAAAGTAAAAACATTGAATAATTTGCCAAATCTTAAAAAAACAGCTGTTCTGTTTCTTTATTTTGAAAATGTTACCGTCTCCACAGGGCTGTCCTGGTGATCCTGGTCTACCTGGATTTAACGGCGATAAGGTGTCCATTTTTAACTTCATGACCTAAACCTTAAATAGAAATATTATTGTTTCAGTTTACAGCTTCTGTTTCATCATCCTCAGGGGCAGGTGGGCTCTGAAGGAAGACGAGGAAACAGGGGGGAGCCAGGACCTCCAGGACCTCCAGGTTTACCTTCATTTTACTTGTGGAGGAACACTGCAGAGGAGTGGGCTGCTTTCCAGGTTGGTACTACAAAYCTAAAAATGTCTATTTAGTTTAGAAAAGAACCCCAAAAAGTGAATAAAGACAACAGCTGTTTGTCACAGTTAGCGAGAGGTTTAGACCCAGAAAAGCAGGCTGACATAGCCTGGAAAAAACCAGACCCTTGTCCTTCACTTTGCTTCATACGAGGGTCTGAAGTCTCGGCTATAGAGAAGCAATTCTCGCTGGAGGCATGRCCTCTGCTGAAGTTTAAAATATGACCAGAAAACACAGATTGTGACACTTTATTCAAACACCAGAGTGTTTCAAAGCAGAATAATTATGTACACTTTTGTCTTTCCATACAAATGGTGATAAATGACTTTCTTGACTTGCCATACATCCACTGCTCCTGTTTAGATCTTCAAAAACTTCAGTTCCACCTGAACCAGTCCTTACTTTGTTTTGATGTGGAGCACTTCAGATTTCTCTCTTTCTCGTCTATCAGGGAGGAAGTTGATGCTTTTGATTTGTCTGTTTCACCCTCTGCAGCAGCTGGAAGCTGTAAAATATATACTGGAGAACTTCAGCTCCTTTATTGAACAATGTCTGTTATTGATTTGTGATGACAAATTAATACAGAATGTTCCTAAAAATCAAATTAATGGTCTACCTCACATATACAGTCGCTCTGAGTGATGGATATTTTAATCAGCAGAACCAGAGTTTAACACTTTTTTTTTGTTTTATGCCTAATAATTTAAATTTATCTCTTTTTTTATGTAGCGCTCCAGTTTCTACCAGTTCCTCTCAGCAGGATGGCCTGTAAGTATGCTGTGACATTTAACAAAGCTTTTCTTTGCTTCAGCTGAGTTGTTTTATTAGCTCCTGAGAACCTGCCGTTTCTATTTGGTGAGCTTGCAGACTCAGGAGGGACCTGAAGGACCACCTGGAGAGATGGGCAAGCCTGGCATGCAGGTTAGAAATGAGCCTCGTTTAATTTTAAGCAGGCGAGTTTTGAACACGACACACATGTATTTAGTTTTATGGTCTTGTTTTTCAGGGCCCACCTGGAGAGCCTGGTGAACAGGGGCAACCAGGGCTGCCAGGAGAAATGGTACGCCTATTTTTATTAAATTTAGCATCAGGTTCCACCTAGAGGACTTCAAGCTGAGGATGGATGTATCACCTAGACCAATGATGGATGGATGGATTATTGGACGGATGGATGGATGGAAAGATGGATTGTTGGACGGATGGACAGATGGGTGATTGATGGACAAATAATTTAATGGATGGATGGATGTACAAATGGATAGATGGACAAAAGGATTGATAGACCGATGGATGGATGGATGGATGGATGGATCGATCATGTAGTCCGAGAGATGGATGGATGGATTGACGGATGGATTATTGGACAGATGGAAAGATGGATGGATGATGGTTGGATGGTAGATAGATGGTTGGACAGGTCAATTGTTGGACGGATGGACAGATGGATAATGGATGGTTGGATGATAGATGGATGGACAGATTGACTAATGGACAGTTGGACAGATGAATGATGGATTGGTGGACAAACAGATGGATTATTGGACAGATGGATGGGTGGATGGATGGATGGATGGATTGTTGGACGGATGGACAGATGGATGATGGATGGATTGGATGATAGATGGATGGATAGATTGATTGTTGAATGGATGGAAAGATGGGTGGATTGGAGGATGGATAATGGATGGATGGAAGATTAATGGATGGAAGACGGATGGATGGATGAACAACTTTGACTTCTGTCTCGTGGTAAAAACTTGTAATTAAAACGGTTTCAGACGATGAATCTGTTCAGCTCCAGTGTTGGATGGTGGAACAACGAAGGTTCTCCTCTTTGATGAATCATGATTTAAATTCTATAACCAAAAATTCAGCTGGACCTCCTGCATCTCATTAAACAGTGATAATCCCTGATTGACTCTTCCAGTAGCTGCAGTGGTTTGGGAATGTTGGGAACAAACAGATCTCTGCCGTTCACAGGAAGGAGCTTGATGACTCTTATTATTGGACCTCAGATGTTTAAAGTTTATACCTCAGTTGGTGAAACCAGTTTGGGTTTTCCAAAGGTAGACCAGCACAATTCTGATTTTAGGTTTTAATGTTTTTGATGAATGTTTGTTGGCTGGCAGGGGGATCCAGGCCTGAGGGGGCCCCCGGGACGAGCTGGGACCCCAGGAAGAGATGGCATTGATGGAGAGGATGGTCAGCCTGGGTCACCTGGTCCTCCTGGAGCACATGTGAATACATTCTTTACATGTCAAACAGCACACAGAATGTACATGCAAATCATGACTTAACCAACAAAACWATCTATCTATTGATTTCAGGGCATGTGGGGGTACAGGGGGGAGCGAGGGTCCAAAGGGGAAAAAGGTGATGAGGTAAGAAAAAACAGAAMTAAAATGTAAGAAATGAGACAAAAAGTTGTTTGTTTTATTGTTAAACGACAAATAAATTCAGCAAAAAAAGCACATTTTATTTTTATTTATGGTAAATTTATTTTAAAAAGATGTTTTTAAAACACAAACAGCTTGTTCTGTTTGCTAAAAACGCTATAAGCTAATGTAAATAAAATCTTATCAAAATATAAATTTTAAAAAGTATCCACTCTTAAATTATGTCAGATTTAACTCGAGCTTAAAAACTGAACTCTGAAGACATTTTGCTGCTCGACAGCACCATCTAGTGGTTTTTTTAAGGCTACGTATTGGACTTTATTTAAAATTTGACAAGTTTTTTACATGTATGTTTTATATTTTTACTACCTTTGACAACTAGTTTTTACCACTGCAGTTATTATTTTATTAAAGGAAATGTTTGAAATTTGACCACCATGACAAAAAAAACTGCCTTCGGTCCAAATCTAATATAACAAAGCAAGTCTAACAAATTTGCAACTGACCTTAAAATCATATTTAAAAGGCTTAAACAGAAAATCAGGACATCAGTTTCCACTTTAAATCCTAAAGACCTGTAACCTTTCTATTATGATGCAATGCTCCAAACCAACATATTAATCAAAGGGGTTAGCCTTTTTTATGGTTTAAATCTATTTAAAAAGGCCCTTGAAGCAGAGAAAAAAGAGTATATATTTATATTAAATGGTGTTTTTTGCATTTTATCAGGGTCTCATTGGCTTCCGGGGTCCCAGAGGGGAAACTGGTGAACCTGGTGAGAAGGTATTTTTCAAACATTTATTTTCCTCCATGTTGAAAAAAAAATTTTTTTTGCTGATATTATACTGTATAAGTTGTTTGTGGTCTACTATTTTAAAATGCAAATTTAGTTTAAAATCTTTTTTTTCTTTTAGGGCCCAGCTGGTCCACCTGGTCCACCAGGTCTTGTTGGAATACCAGTAAGTGTTTTATTAATTTATTTTTTTAAACCATGTCTCCTTATTTGTTTATTTATTTGCAATTGTAGTTATAGGTCAGTTAAAAAGTAAAAACCTTTAGTATCTCAGTGTGAATATCAGGAGTGAATTCATACAGGACTGAAGCTAACCGCTGCTAAGTGCTGTTCTTAGAGTTTTATAAGAATGTTTAATTTAACTTGATGGTGTTAAGATAACAGCTGCTCAGAATGGAGATCTCCACTCCTGACATCACTCATATTTACATACATTACTGTATCTGTCGCTTTATCAAAYGATCAATTGGAGTGGATTCTACAGACAATCAGTGTTAATACTGTAACAGAAAAAGACTTTCCTAAAGCAAATTTCGACACATCGATTTCAGAAATCACAGGAAATTTCAGTTTAAAGGTTGTCTGGAGGGTTGTGCTTTTCAACAGATTTGAAAAGCAAGAGGAATTGTTAAAAAAAAGTTTGTGATTTTACTGGTGTTTTATAGCTTAGCTTTCCGCAGCTTTCATGTCTGTGTATTTTTATCACTGGAGCCACTGCTTATGTATCAACTCATCGACTTGAGTCACAACAAAGAAGTTTAATGGTCTTTAAAATTTGTGTTCATATATTATCACTGTATGTTTGACTGACTGCAGTAGAGCGCTGTAAATGAGGCTAGCTTAGATGCTAGGAGTAAAGCTACCAGTAGGCTACAGCAAAAACAACWAAGTTTATTGTACCTGTTTATCAACAGAAAGTGCAGGGATAGGATCAGGGTGGTCCAGTGTTGGTCTTTTACCTCTGATTAAATGTTTGGAGCAGACATAAAGTCCTTGGATGCACTTTTTTCCGGTGGAATTCAACTCGTCCCATCGCTCAAATCCAGCTGTTAGCTAGCATCTTAGCTTGGGAAAARTGACAAAAAAATACTCATATGTGGGGACGATGACTGTATCTTGAGTCCCTTTTACAAGAACCATAGCATGATATTTTGTGGTCCTCTTGGTGGAGTTTGATGATGATCCGAGCTGCCAGCAACTAAGACTCAAGCTGCCAGCTGCTAAAAGTCAAACTACCAGCGACAAAGACTCAAACTGCCAGCCGCTAAGAGCCGAGCTACCAGCGGCTAAGACTCAAGCTGCCAGCGGCTAAGAGCCGAGCAACCAGCGACAAAGACTCAAGCTTCCAACGGCTAAGACTCAAGCTGCCAGCGACTAAGACTCAAGCTGCCAGCGACTAAGACTCAAGCTGCCAGCGACTAAGACTCAAGTTACCAGTGACTAAGAGCTGAGCTACCAGTGACTAAGTCTCAAGCTTCCAGCGACAAAGACTCAAGCTGCCAGCGACAAAGACTCAAGCTTCCAGTGACTAAGTCTCAAGCTTCCAGCGACTAATGGTGCGTTCACAC